TAGGCATTTAAAATACAGATTCAAAGAGCCCTACCTTTTAATAGCATTTCTGTAACATTCAGCCTAAAAGAATCTCTTCAGCTGCAAATTTGCATCGACTTTTGGGGAATAAGTTTCATTGTACCTGAAGTAACTGCTGAAGAAACCTACATAGGCTTCTTGCCGTCTAGGAAAAGTGAATGTTTCTGATTGGAACAATGTTTATCAGATAATATTTCTAGACGTTTATCAACCTAAAGCATGTTGTTTCCACACGCTAAGCAATAACATGTGTTCAAAATATTATTGTCAATGTTGCATGATACCAGGAAGCAAAAGAAAACCAAACTGCATTTGTGGTAAGTGCGATTTAACAGTTAACATTTGTTCTTCCTAAGTTTCAAGGGCTTGCCCTGAGATTAAGAAGTGTACTTCATTTATCAAACAAAAGGGAGACCATTAAGCCGAAGTGATAACTTGGTGTAGCCCATGGAGAGTCAGAGTCTCATAAACATTGAATGAAATAAAAAGTTCTTTATAAAGATAAGCATTTTGACATCTGTGGAATACCACACATAATAAAAAGTGTTCAATTATGGAGGCAGGTTTCAGCATGCATATAGGGGGTGGGGAAGCTAAAGCGTAAGGAACACTTTGATGGACACTTCAGTACCTCTTGAATGTCCATGTTGAAATCATTATAGTATTACCATTTTAATACAAATCCATACAGGAGATTTCCTTGTCAGTTTTAAAACAGGTTTGATTTTTTTTTTTTTTTGTAAGAAGTCTTTTTTACCTTATGGCCTTACATCAGCTTTCTCAAATTGAACTTCTCTAGATTTAAACCTAAGGCAACTTTAAATATTTACAGCCAATATGATCATCACGCGGCCCCAAAGAATCTTGGATGAGACTGTAGGGAGAATACAGCTTTTGCCTCTCCATTTCCATTGCCTACTTCCCTGTTTTGGTGCCAACAGAATGGATAGAAGACACCTTGGCTGCATATCTTAAATTTGATAATAGCAACCAAGGTTTTTAGAAACTATTGATTTATAACTACATTTGATTGAATTTTTATTTATTTCAAAATGTGCTTTTAAAAAAATATTTAAGAATTGGAAAGAATTTGAGAACTATCATTCTGTTCATGTAGCTGTACAGATTAATTTGTTGGCCTAATGCTCCCTGAACAAATTTATATTAATTCTGAATGTCCAAAGAACCACAGTTGGATTGTTCTTGAAAGTAAATGCAAATTGGAGTTAAATTGTCTAATTAACTAGAAACCTGAAAAGTATTTTTTCAAAGGGTTTTTAGTATTGATATCCACCTTCCTAATAGAGTCTTCCATGTATTAAGGTCCATGTACCCCTTCCTCCACAAGCTATTAGTTACTAGGGAGACTGAAATTTGAGATAAACTAATGCCTTTTCTCATGTCAGTTCCATATAGCTTATGAAGTGAAATAATAATCTTTCCATGTTACAGCATCTATTGTAGTGGCAGGGAGCTTTTTGACTGGCTTTCCTATTTTCTGATTACTACATCCGTTTTCCATGGTAATTGTGGATTATGGGATCCATTGTCCAAAACCACGATGGCTGTGCTTCAGTTAAGAAAGTCTGCCTTCAGATCTAACATTCTTCAAGCCTAACCATTATTTTGCAAAGAAACAAATAATATTGCCATTCTAAGCAAGGACTTAGAGTTGCTTACACCTTTGATTAAAAGAAATCTGTTAAGTCTTCTTACAATTGCTGATCTTATATTGAAATATTGTTGATTTAATCTGTCACAGCCCTTTCTGGATAGATTCTTTTAATCAGATTATGCAAACTGAAATCCAAAATGGGATTGGAATGGAAAAAATAAATATGGATCAAGATATCAATTATATAAGAACCAATTAAAATGTAATTAAATACATTGAAAAACATTGAATAGTTCCTCTTCTGATCTCATGGAAATTATTATTTTATAGTGGGACAGACTGGAAGGGACTGTATTTTAAGTGGCACTGTTTCACCAGTTATAAGCTGAAGGAAGTTCACAGGTACAGCCCTCACATCTAGAGGAAGTTACCTGTGATGGAAAAGCAGCACTTCCCGCATTAGGAAGAATCCTCTGTGATGTAATTTCCTAAATTCCAGTGTGCTCTGTAATTTTTTTATTAAACATCCACTTATAATTAGTTTGTGTGCTAAGCATAATTTTCTGTGAAACAAGGATTCTTTTACAACTGAATGAAAAACTGCTGGTGACCTTCTACCGCTGCACCATAGAGAGTATTTTAACTTACTGCGCCTCTGTATGGTTTGTTAATTGCACAGTGGCAGATAGGAAAGCACTCCAGGGGGTTAACGTCATTGTCCAGAAGATCATTGGTTGCCCTCTCCCCTCCTTGGAAGAGCTTTATAAGCTCCTGCTGCCTTAAGAATGTTCAAAACATTCTTAAAGATCCATCTCATCCTGGGCACACACACCCTTTTCTTTTGAACTATTACCATCTGGCAGACAGTACAGGATAATAACAAGGACAAATAGGCTGAAAAACAGCTTCTATCCCAGAGAAGTAACTATACTGAATTCTACTGTATAGTATAATACTAATGCAGTATCAGGGATTTTCAATTCAATTGTACAGAACGTGAAGGATGTGTGTTTTTGTTTTATTTTTATAGTTTTCTTATATATGATGTACGCTGAAGATGGCATTTAATTTCATTGTACGAGGTGCAATGACAATAAAATAAACTAACTGCATGTGTTGTCTCTTTCCTACATTAATGGAGATTGTTATATTTAAGACTCTCACATTATTCCTCAGATTAAAACATGAACTTGGGTTAAAAAAAATCCGAGCAGGTTTGATGGAAAAGCTATCCATTTTTCTCAATGATATATTACTCTAGCATGTCCTGTCCTGTCAATCTTGCCTTTACTGTGGTATCTCTGTGCCACTTGTATTTTTTTTCAAAGTGATCATCATTTTTATCACCTTGTTCTGGCTAAATAACTTCTCAGATACATCTGGGCATTGCAATATATCTTCATACATGTTTCTGCATATAGACATCCTTGGAAGAAGCTAAAAAAATACTACTGGGACGTTAAATGTGGCAATTTGTATTGGCTTCTTTTAAAGGTATGTCGATTGAAGAATTTGAAACAATACTGTAGGTAGAAAGGAAAGATGTGATGACTACTGTTGAAAGATTTATATTGTGGTGGAGCCTCTGAGACATATTTATGTAAATTTGATCTTTGGGTTATTGTATAAATTGTAAATCTCCCCTAATGAAGGGATTACCCTGACAGATTTTTTTTTAAATAATAAGCAACAGGATTTTTTTTCCTTTCAAGATTGTCAAAGAATATTTTTACTGGGGTATTCATTTATTTATCTTATGTTTTTATGAGCCCTCAAATGCATAGTTTTACCAGACTAGGGAAAAACTTATAGGGAGGCCGAAACTCAGAAGGAGCACTTATCACAGCAATAAATAAAAAGGAAAAAGCTTTACCTGCTGAATTGGTGTGTGTTGCACTGTGGCTGGCAACTCTGAATCTCAGTACCTTTTTAGACACATTTAGTAAAAAATCTTTTGGCTAGCTTCTTGACATTCTGTAGTGGGGAATGTAATGACATTAAAATGGAAAGCTTAACATGGGGCTTAATGTGTTTAAAACAAACAAAGAATGTCCCATTTCTACCATGAGTGTGATATAGCCCTGCCCCCTTTGCTTTATTTCCTGACTCCCTCTCCTCTTGTTAAGCTTGGCCCCCATCTCTTCCTGAATATGTAATCAATTCTAGCATCCCTTTTCTTAAGTGCTGAAAAAGTTTATAAAAAGGTAATAGAAAGGCATCGGATATGCTATGCATTATGCAAGACATATGCAGAATTATAATATAGCTGCTGAATTTTTTAGCAATAACTTAGAACTTTAAACAACACATAAAATTACACATTCTGTGGACACCTTTGGGTATATTTGCTCCTCTAAGTTCTCTGTTCATGTAGAGAGCTTGTCTTTTTCCTTCTATGTTTTGTAGCTTTCCTTATCATTTATATCTTCATGTTGAAAAGCTCTTGAGACATTTTTGGGAGTCATGTATCTGATGAAGACGTAGGCAGTGTGCCCATTAAAAGGAAGCAGCTGTAAATATGCATTAGTCTGATTTGACATTGTTTTTTAAAAGTCAATTTTCTTAAATCATGAAAACTAGTAAACTTGAAAAGTACTTGACATGGCTTTGTTCGTTTAATCCCAAAGCATAAACTTCAAGATTCGGTCATTTCCTCTGACTGCAATGACCAAGCCAAAATGACAAAAAAAAATTAACAAAAAAGTGAATTGCAATCTTGTGCATTGTCACCAGGCAAGAAATTTCCTTGAACACTGTGAGAGGTTGTTGTTTTTTCCTGAGCAAATACCCCATCAGATTTGTTATGTCACTGAACAGCTTCCAAGCAAGTAATACACTTATTCCCTAGTTAATGCACAGATAATAGCTTCAATAGTGTAAAATATGAGGATTCCTGAACTGAGAAATAGTAATTTTTTTAAAAAAACAAAGTTTCTCATCTGCCTTTGCAACTCTAAAGTTTGGTGGGGGGGAATTAAGTTCCTAAACTGCCTTTGTCTTTACTGCTGTGGCCGAACTGAATTTGAAGAACAGGATCATCAGTTTTACCTGTAAGTAATTTTCAGTTTTCTTCCTATCAATCATACTAGTGGAAAATTCCTCCATTCATTTAAAAAAGATAAACAGTTGTAACTTTCGAATTTGGTTAATGTGACATCTATTACTGGCTTGAGCTGTCAGCATTCCAAAAAAGGGATATCACCCTGATCTCCAGCCTATCAGGATGCACGAGGCTGAGTCTTAGAAAGTAAACCTAAACATTTACAGGTGTATAAGTACTGGAGCTAGCACAGATGATGCACCTGTCTCAGGGAAAGGACTAACACAGGTGTGTTGGAACTTGGGCTACTGCCAGAGCTAGATTATGAGCTCATTTGATCCACAGATACACTCACCTCCACGCTGCAGCCCACAATTTCCAAGCATCGGCCAGGAACCACCTGAAATGAACATCTACTATGAAAATTTCTTCCACCCACAGAACATTCCTAGTCCACAACGGCCCACCAACTTTGAAACAGGGGACTATTCTGCTGCACCCAATCCTTACTTGTGGTTAAACGGACCTTCCATTAATTCTCCACCTTACCTGCCAGGATCCAACGGCAGTCCATATATCCCACAATCCTATGGAATGCAAAGGCAGCTCTTGCCCAACATGCATGGCTTGACAGGGAATGAAATGGGCTGGCTCCCTATGCCTTCTCAAGAGGAGCTGATGAAGCTGGTCAGACCACCTTATTCCTACTCTGCCCTGATTGCCATGGCCATCCATGGGGCACCAGACAAGAGGCTGACACTCAGTCAGATCTACCAGTATGTGGCAGACAACTTTCCCTTCTACAATAAAAGCAAGGCTGGTTGGCAGAATTCCATTCGTCACAACCTGTCCCTCAACGACTGCTTCAAGAAGGTGCCCCGGGATGAAGATGACCCAGGTAAGAAGTTTTCTTAATACTCACTGTGCTTTTCAGTTTACCATGGTTTTAGCCAGAGGATCTTTTGAGGCAGGTTCTGATTCTGTCTCACTCACAGTAAATACAGGCAGGGTCTCTACAAGAGGCTTTCAGTGTCTTTGAACTCATCTAATCATAATTGTGCCACAATAACATGGAGGGGCTTTAGATCAGCACAGAAAAGGCCAGTTGATGGTAAAAGACAGCATAGTGGGTCATTGGGGCAAAATGGCTTGCGACTACCTAAACTGCAGGGGGGCTTCCTCCTTTACCAAATTCACATGACTTGACAGTCACAAATATAATTCCCTAAGCCACACTTTGCCAGCATTTGATTCTATGCCTTTAACAATGCTGTGATAAGAAGTTGGCAATTGATCATTCTGTGCTCTGAGAAGCATTGCCTATTGAGTAAAGACACTGGAGCATTTTTCCTGTGGTCAATTGGCTCTTTCCTTGGCTGTGAAATGAACTGGTTCTTCCTTATAGTTTTTTGGTGGATAAAACAATTGCTGGGAGACACTTCTAAATATCCTCCCTCATTCCTACCTGCTGTCTTGCTCAAGGTCAAATTCTGCTTTGTTTCAATAAATTCTCTTGATGCTAATTAGGGATCTATCAAGTATTTTGTTGGAGAAGTAAGGATTTTTGTGTGTCTGTTAAGCACAAACTGTTAAAAGTTCAGTTTTACCTCAAGGCAACCTGGACAGGGCCTGGACAGAGTTATTTGAATACAAGCAGCTCTCCCTCCCTCCTTCCCTTCCTTTTTTTAAAAAAGGGTGTTGCCCAATCTGCTGCTTTTTCTGAATCCAAGCCAAACTAAGCATTGAGAACCTGCTCTTTGTTGGCTTCAGTTATATTTAAGTTTTCTTGCTCTTGTTCTAACAGGGAAAGGCAATTATTGGACTCTGGATCCCAACTGTGAGAAGATGTTTGACAATGGAAATTTTCGGCGAAAAAGGAAGAAGAAAACTGATTGTAGTGCCAGCACAGTGACTTTGGCTTCTGAAAAATCAGAGGACAGTGCCTTAAGTGGCAGTCCCAAGGCTCCAGAACACCAAGATATTTTGGAAAACTCGTCGGGAACCGAGAGTTCACCTGAAAAGAGGTCTCCTCCACCACCATCCACTACTCCCTGCCTCAACAACTTTCTCTCCAGCATGACAGCTTACATGAATGGGTCCAATTCAGTGAACCGCTCGGTGCCTCTGGGACTTGGCACTGATGCTGGGGACAAAATGGGACAGAATATGGTAGGCTTCAACACATACACGCCTCTTCCCAGTCATGGGGGTGGTGAATGGTCCAATTCCATGTCCTCTGGTCATCTTGGCTATAGCAGTTCAGTACTTAACCAGTTCAACACCAGTTTCTACAACAGCTTATCTGTCAATAATACTCTGTATGCAAGAGAGGGAACTGAAGTGTAAACAAATGGAGGCCTTGTGACAGGAGGAGTATTGTGCAAGGAGTCAGAAACAGAAACTATGTCAGGGAAAGGACTTCATGTGAGCTATCCTCTTCCCCATTTTTCTTAGACAGACCAAAGTTGCTCTGTTAACAGGTTTCCAGGCAGTGATGTTCACAGAAATCAGTGGCTTCAAATCATACAAAGACTTCTACTCATAAAAAATTGTAAAGAAGAGCATATCCTTTTCACTTGCACATTAGTCAATCAGAAATAATTGGTTTCAGACTTTTTGACATTAAAGCAGAACAGAGCGGTTGCTTCAGACATAAATCTACTTTTGGAAAATCCACCCTCTTTTTGCTTTCTCTGTATTCCATTTGAATACAAGAATACCATAAAGTAAAGCACAGTAATATTCACTAATTGGGTTGAATTAGTTGGGCTTTCTTCTTATCTGAAAACACGACACAATCCAGCTGATATTGTATGCTTAATATCTCACTTATTGGACTGGAGAAAGCTTATGCTTCTCTCCCCCTAAAACAACACTTACATTTTATTTTGCTACTAAAATCTACTATTTTATCAGTGTAAAGTGATAGGCAGAGAAGAAAACAAAGTGATGGAAGTGTTATTAAATAAGAATATATATATAAATAAAAACTTGACTTTTTATCATCCTTTTTTTTTTACAGATATCATGCAAAATAACTGGAAAACTCAATTTAATTTTCAGTCAGGTGAATTTAGCCATAAGTGTCCTAATCACCAACAGCAATTGTATGTGATACATACAATGTTAGATGGTAGTTGAAGAACAAAGTGCAGAGTTTCAGCATGGCACAAGCCCAAACTTCTAAAAACAAGATTTAGTTTGGGTTTGATGTAGGCAGAATGCTATTGTTGTGAAGTATGAAAACCTCTCCTGGAAGATATAAAAGATAAGACACCACACTTCTAAACATATGTACGCACATATTTTATGAACACCTGACAACTCATGAGGAAATTGCTATTAATTCTGCGTTTTTCTTTTATAAACTCTAATATATCTTCTGTGCTTGTACTTAAAAACCTACACTCAATTTATACACACTTTCCTAATGTAATGTTGGCCAAAGTTAGGGTGTGAAGTCATGTTTCTATCAAGGGCTAAAATTGGTTGGTGCAAATCTGTTACAGGCTGCCCTTTTATTTGCCACAGCAAGAGTCAAAACTATTTGGGTTTACTCCTCTGACTTTTTAATGCCTTCTTATGCTCTCCTTCTTCCCCCCATTCAAGATGTCGCCATGGATTTTTTTTTTCACCTCAGCGTTTGATTCTGAAGCCTTAGAAAAAGCCTTATTGGGTTGAGAGACATTACACACCCCTGTCAAAAATGTGTAGCAGTTGCATATGACAATCCTAGGGAGGCTTCAGTGGTGCTTACACTTGATCCAATAAAAGTCCAAAGGGGTATAAATGCCCTCAGGCGAATGGAGCAAAAATAAAATCACTGCTCATGGAGATTTTTTATTCGGTCTATTTTTGATTCTGATGTCATTATTGGGAGGGAATGCAAGGGAGACTTTTCTAATAAAATATTTTTCTACCAGTGTGTGTGTGTGTGTGTGTGTGTGTGTGTGTGCTGAGCTGGAAGCATACCATGGGTGCCAAACCAAATAAGATAAAAATGGATGATGGTGACATTCTTTTGACAACTGTTCCTTCTTATGATGCTTTAAACTTGCAATTTTCTCCTGGGTCAAACCAGTATAACGTATTATCATTTGACAGAATGAACAATGCAATGTCTGTCTGCATGCCTGATCTTTTGACTTCAATCCCTCTGAGCAACACATATGAATAACAAAAGAACACTTGAAGCAATGGGACAAAAAAAATGCCATCTGTGGCTGCTCCTGTCTTTCCGTGTGCTCTTCTTTGATTGCAAATATCCTTGGAGGCTGGATATTAAATGAGGGACAAATTATCTGATATATTAAAGTCAAAAGAAACCTGGGCTGCACTTGTCTGATCTGCAATGCAACAATATTAAGTAGATGCATGGCTCTTGTCAATGAAATCAATAGGATTCAGTGATTTTATTCCCAATTCCTCTTTTAAAGCAAAGGATGTCAGAAGGAAATGCAATGGCTGTGTTTCTAATATGTGACTATATTGTACCATAAATTGATTCTTGCCAAAATTGCCTATGCTATGAAAAGCAGAGATTTACTGTAGTTCTATTTGGGGGGGGGTAGGATAAGGGAAATGGGGGAGAACTACAACCACATACAGTTGATGGTTTGGGGCTCTATAAAATCTCTGTTTAAAACTTTGCTACTGTAAAGGAATTCTGCCACAGATGAACAGAGACCAACTCGGGAGAAGGGATTCTATCCCACTTTCATCCCCAATATCTCTTGCCTGACATCATGCTCCATCTCAATAAAGTGGTCTCAATGTCTACCACCCCCCTTTATAAGAACAGGCAACACATTTTAACTCAATTCTGTGGTTTGTTTTAATTGGTTTTAGTGTGGATTTTTTTCTTCTGCTGTTCAGTTGTGTCTAATTGTTAGAGACGGCTTGCACAAGTCCCTACAGTTTTCTTAGCAAGCTTTTTAAAAAGTGGTTTGTCATTGCCTCCTTCCTAGAACTGAGAGAGAATGACTGGCACAAAGTCACCCAGCTGGCTTCATGCCCATGATACAATAAAAACTCACAATCCCCTTGTTTCTAGTCTGATGGCTTAACCACTACACCAAACTGTCTCTCTTTAGTGTTTTATGCAAAGAAAAGGCTTGGTGGGAAGGAAGTGGTTTAACTTTGCACTGTGGACTGAACCCATAGTGATGCTAAATTTAGGCCAGCATAGGAGATCATCCCATTTGCTCCAAACTTACAAAGATCAAGATAATAAATATTGAAGGAAAGTAGAAAGGGAAGGAACTAATATCTAACCAAGTGAACCATTTGGAAAGTCAATCAATAGCCAAAGCAACTTTGCTTTTCAAAGGATCCTTCTGGGGCAGTGATCAAATGTTCTCATCACAAATCCTAAGATTAGAAAGATATTAAGAACAGCATCCCAAATTCCTTTGAGTTGTTCCTGAAAGCAGCAGGTTCAGCTTGTTAAGGAATTAAGTCATCTCTGTCCGTGATATTGGCAAGAGATACTTTATTTTTAAGGCAAAGATCAATTTGGGGGTTTGCCAGTGCTGTTTTGACTTCCCAGTGTAGCTGACAGCTGTGGGATTTTCTGATCATCTTTCCATCCAAGGACTCATCAAATCTGACATTTCAAAGAGTTGAAATCAAGGGCAGCTTGTTATAAACTGAGATATTATTCCATTTAACCCCTTAATAAAGAAGGGCCACCCTAATCTTTAAGTAAGATATATATTTAAAATCTATTAGCCCGGGTGGTGGTTATCAGAGGTGTTACATTTTTGCTCCCATGGTCTCCCAAGGCCTAGCATTAACCTTCAAGCCATATAATTTAAAAAGAAAAAAAAAATCACATGGAGGATTATAATGCTTCCCTTAAGCTTCTCTGTTGCTCACCAAGACTGAAGTCAATCACTCATGTTTGCTCAACTTGCCCTTTTCCAGCTTCAGCAAAGCACTTTTCATATACAATTCTATTTACTGTCATTCACTAACGAGGAGAAGGTCTTTAAGCTAGCAAGGCATAGCCAAAGAAGCTGTTTCATCAAAGAGAAAAACAAATGGGAGCAGGAAGGATGGAATATTTTGGGTTTCACTTGAATATGTGCCCTGTACAATTGGTGCCTTGTCTTTCTTACTAACCTGGGATGGGAAAATGTGTCCTATATGCAGACAGCATGTACTTATTCTTAATGAGGGTATTAAATCCATTTTAGAATGGGTGGTTTCTGTGCTGGCATTAACAGGATGGATTTTATTTGTCTAATGGAGCAGGGAATGCATTTTCCTATGCAGGAACTTCTATGCACATCAGGAAAGCCACCAATAAGCTGTTCAAGGTTTATATATAGCAGAATGGACATGAAAAGATAATAGAGAATGAAAGAGGAATACATTGGAGAACCAATTCTGATAGTAACATTACTGATCCTGAGAGGAAGTGCCCATATTAACCTGGGAATTTGGGGAGTTAAAGCCCCACATTTTAAAGTTGCTGAAGTTAGGAAACACTGACTTATGGATGAATATACTCTGTAGGAAGACAGAAACAACTCTATCCTTCACAATAAATGCAAAACACTGTGATGGTTTACTGTGCTGCTTTGTCTCCAAAAGGTTTGGAGAAAGAATGTTACATAGGATAAGTGCAAAAGGGATTCCATCCTCAACAGAGCAATTGGGACCTTACATACCAACAGGAGTTTTGACACTTTTCTTTAATCTTAAACAGATTATCTGTTGCTGTCACATTCCTAACCTTGTATATGCAAAATCCATGCAAATCAGACTTCATTCACCACATTTGTCTCTAACAGCAAAGGAAGGGGGTGGAGGAAATCTGGTTTGTGTTCTGGATGTACCATTAACCCTGTGGAAGGAATTCTAAGAATGCTGCCCTATTTTGCTGTGGTCTGCTCCATTCTGCATGAATTTCTTCATAATTTGGTCAATATAACCAGTATCTGCAAGAGCGACATTAGCACATCATTCCTACTGATCATAAAGATGCATAATTTCTGTAGGATGCCACATATTTGAACAAATATAGCCTTGTAGGTTTCATGTTTGTTTTCACAAAACCATAGAATGATCTATAATAGTCATTGAATTCTGCCCTTAAGTAATATAGTCTCACTTAGCAACATAACAGTTGCCCTTGTTTAGTTGCAAAGGATTTTCCATGAAGTACTGTAAGGCAATGCTGGAAAATATCTGTTCAGAAATTAGTACCTGGATTTTGAATCTGCCTCTTACACATATCTATAGCAATCTATCTAATTAAACTTTGGGGACAATCATACTTACCTAAGGGCTTTTTGGTATTGGGAATTGGAAAAATAAACACAGCATTCTTATCCTAAAGATCAGCCAACTGGGGAATTCTACAAGTACTAATGCAATACAGGTAGTCCTTGACTTACAACAGTTCATTTAGTGACAGTTCAAAGTTACAACATCACTGGAAAAAAGTGACTTATGACCATTTTTCATACTTATGACCTCATGGTCACGTGACCAAGATTTCGATGCTAGACAACTGGTTCATATTTACAACAGCTGCAGGGTCTCCAGATCGTGTGAGCGCCTTTTGTGACCTTCTGACAAGCAAAGTCAATAGGGAAAACAGATTCACTTAACAACCGGATTACTAACTTAAC